TATTTTACATTTTTAAATTACGATATAGTGTTTCAGTTTTCATAATGGGTCTATTTAATTTATGCATTTTAAATAATTTAATTAGTTATTAAAAAAATAAAAATAAATAATTATGTTCCCAACTTTTTCATGTTGATTTTACCCCATCTCTTTTAAATGTTTTTTTTTCATATAAGGGTTGAATTATGTTAATTTAATAAAATAAGAGCGACCTAACATTAAATTAGTTTTAAATGTATACACTAACATGTATCATCGAATTAGGATAATACGTTAAAATTGATGAATACTATGATAACAATGGTCTATAATCCATGGTTGGACTGAAAGAATATAATATAAACATAAGGTATTTATTTATTTGGTTGTTGTTTCAGATTTGGAGTTATTTTATTTAAATGGCATGAATTTTAATGTTTAATGCACGCCATTCTTTTACATGTTAGAAAATAAAACAAAAAATGTATATTTATAAGATTATTCTATTTCAAAAGAGCTTTTATTCAAAGTTGAGAAAAGTGACTATTTTCAACCATAATTGAATTAGAACTGTTGTTTTTTCTGAGGCCGCGTACAGATGGGTCAATGTCACGGCCATTTCCAACCAATGGGTCGGTGAACAATGAAAGTGCAATTCTACGTTAAAGCACCACATTAATTAAAAAAAAAAAGTGCCACGTGGCGTTGCACAAAATAGTAACAAATTAAAAGTACCACGTGTGCATTTATGAAACAACAACAGATATTACCTCATAAAGAAATGATAAATTTATGTTGACAATAACTTATATAACATCACAAAGATAGAGTTTAGAACTTACAAGTAAAGATAGTTTAACAAATAAATTATGCTAATTAGGTTGCAAATGATTTACAATATTGTAATCTAATAATTAGTACTGTACGACCTTGAACTTATAAATAAACTCATTGTAACATTTCTCGACATGTATATTTATTTGTTCGCTAATCAAACGTTGAGTACGAAATGAGCGTTTTCACGAAGAAAAAGCACATAATACTAAAAACATCGAAAAATGTCAAAATCCAAATTAAAGACAATTTACACTCTTGGTTCTTGAAGTTTATTTATTTGTTAATCTCAAATGAGGTGAATACAACATAATTGAGATAAAATTTTCCTCCTTAAAAAGAGACATGACATAGTTTATTTACATAAAGAATATGAAGCAACCATAATTTATTAAGTTTTATGGATCTATTTGACAATGTTATCGTTTATATTGTTTATTGTTTTCAAATTTATTAAGAGACCTGATTAGTTAACAACTATTTATTTTAATTGTTTCTTGTTTTTTTTATAAAAATTATACATAAATTTTGGAAAGAACCAAAACAAGCTTCTTAATTTTTTTGTTTTTGTTTGCTATTTGTTCCAAAATATAAATAAAAATATAGCCTTATAATTCATGAGTGTCGATACGCAATTATAAATATATTTCTCGTTACTAAATAGACTCTATTTATTTGGTTGGTAAAATTTCATTTTATCCTCTTAAATCAAGGGGACAATTTTGGTATCTTACAAAATAATAATATTAGGATAAAATTTTGGAGTTGATTTTGCGTCAATTACAAAGCAAAAAATCACCACCCAAATCAATTTAGAATATACCTATTGTCTAACTTTCCTTTCATGCTTTTTATTGTCTCATATTCATTTATCTATTTATATTTTTACGCGCAATCCCCATTCCATTCCATAAAAGGTACATAGCTTTACCTGTCAAAATATAGAAACAAAAATATTAAAAATTAAAATTTGGTATTGGTCCATGAATTTATATCTACTTTTATATTATCACTGATTATTTTTTAGAAAAATAATTTGTCCACTCATTCACCTTATATTTTGACAATTTTATTCTTACTCTATTATTCATTTACTATCTATTATCCTATATTTTTTCCAATGTAAATAACGAGTCACCATTATTCACTATCAAAATACAAAACACATTATCAAATTTACAACATGGATTATACAAAAATTTTGAGGATTAGAATTAAGATTTTTAAAATTAATGAAAAAATAGAAAATGATTTAAATTTAACGTTGGTGGAAACATAGTTTAATTAAATTAACTTTTTTCAATGAACTTAATTTTACAGTTAAGACATTTTGTTAACTTTTGTAGATGTTAGAAGTTCTATCTCGTGTCTTCAATTTTACTAAACTAAAAAAATCCTAAATTTAATGTTCTGTTAATATGTGTGGCTCAGTAATTAAGAAATATCTACTTTTGAATGCGAGTAGTGGATAAAATATTCTTAATTTATTTTTAAAATTTTGATTTAAAAAGAATATATATCATATATATAGTCAGTACCACTATCAGTCACTATCTTTTTTTAATCGTTTTGAAAAATACGGCAATAATTTCGGAATTAAAGATTCACAAAATTTGATCGGACGGTTTAGATTCGTACGTTATCTCATTAGATACTACGGCTCTGTGGGACTGCGATTGCTTGATGGTCAATTGTTCTGAACTTAAATTCGAGATTTATTAAAAAAAAAAAAAGAAAGAACATTCCACGCGCGTACGGCACGTGTGAATCAAACGGACCAATGGGAGTACAATTCTTGGTTCCTGGACACATTCTGCTCTTCTCTCAGGAGTCAGAACCAACCCCACATCGAAGCAGAACAGTCTACGCTCACGCGCCTTCCTCGCGCGTGTGTTGCATCGGCTCCTCCGTCTCTGAAACGCGGAGCAACTCCGCGGAATCATTTTTTCTCACAATATTAACTAACAACTACGAACAGCTTCTCTCTCTCTCTCTCTCTTCGGATTCGCGCTCGCGCCTTTCTCTGAAGAACTTCGGCTTCGGTATCTCAAAACCCTAGGTTTGTCGCCATTTCTCTCTGGTTTTTCTTTGAGATAAATCTCGGTGTTCTACGAACAGTTGTATTGTTTTTCTAGTCTTGGCACGTTTCTGCCCCCAGATCCGCTCTCGGTTTTGCTTTCCAGCATTATCTTGTTCTTCACCCGCTATCTTCCTTGTTTACGTTTTTGTTTGTTCGGAATTTCTGGAAGTTCTTCTGTTTCTCTCTGTTGAAAATTTCTGCATCCGAAATCTCTTGCTTTCAATTCTTTGACGGGTTGTTTAATCTTTGAAGTTTCAGCTTTCTTTTCTTTTCCAGGCGAAGTTTTGCTTTTCTCCGGAAATATGATTTTTTTTTCAATGAAATGTTTGATTTGAGAGCTCTGAGATGCTACATTGTTGTTCTTTCGTGTTTTCTTTAGCTATTTATGGATGAAATATTGATAGATAGAAAGTAAACGAGACAATTGAAAAGATTAGCTAAGAGTCGAGCTTTCATTCAAAATGTAAGAGAAAAACTGAACGGATTCAATCTATGGTCCTCAGTGATTTTGTGCCAGCTGAAGAGTCGAAAGCTAAGTTAGTATCGTAGTGCCTTCCCCTTCATCTGTCCCAGAATTGACCTCCTCTCATCATTTTCTTCATGAAAAAGAGCAGTTTCATGCAAATGGAAACTAATGAATTTCACTCCCGGTCACCAATGTTTTCGAATTCTGTGTCAATCCTGAATTTCACATTTTTGTTGTTACAGGGCGTAGAATTTCACTTCTTGTATGTGACTTTGAATTGTGAAATATGGATTTAGAAGAAAAGTTTACGGCTAGAGGTATATAATATTTCTTATCGCCTAGTTTCCTTTCAGTTAAGAAAGATTTGTGCCTTCATGTTTCTGTTGTTCGAGCGTCTCTTCTCATGGCATTTTAATAAGAATGGGAGAGCAAGATTACTTGATTATGACGTTTTTAGTTGGGATCCCATCCGATTTGACTTTTATAAAAGTTGCACGTGGGGTGGAAATGTCAAATTTGCTTGAGTTTCATATTTTATTAAAATCATCATGACGTAAATTGTGATATATCGTGCTTAACGAGCTTGTTACATTTCTTGGTAACAAGGGATTACATTTATGTTTTTTTTAATAAGAAACTAGTATGTATTAATCATAAAAGACCAGAACATCCTCTAGGGAACCCGTCCCAAAGACCTAATTCAGGAGAGATTGTTAAATTGTAGTTACAAAATAATTTCCTATGGTTTCAGCACCAAGTAGAGAACAAAGTTCCAAAAAGAATCAAAGTGATAAGGATACGGATGAGATATGAGAATTTATTTTTTGAGCCCTATTGGTGTAATTTTTCCCTAGGTTTTCTTGCAATTATGATTATTTGATGATTAATACCTAAAGGATCCTCTTCCTTCCTTTTCATGCTTGTTTGGTTGCTGCCGATTGCTCAATTTGGCTTTTCTCTGGGTTTGAGTAGTATTTCTTCGATTTGTAATGCATGTCTACCTTCTTACTATATTTCTGTTTTTTTTTTCAATGCTCGTCAAAGTTTCAGAGGTTACCGGAACATCTTGTGCAAAGGTGCTTCTTTCAATGGTGGCTCTCACCCGTAGCTCAACCTTATAGATTCCATCTCCACTTTCTCTCTTTCAAACTGGGAAGATTCAAGTAATGTGATTAATTTATTTAAGGGTGAACAAGTCCTAATCCAACAAGTTAATGAGGTAATATAATTTCTTATTTTGAATTAATTTATAACAGAAGCATATATCTGCGGATATTTTCGTGTGGTGAAAAAAAAATCCCTATTCACCTTGAGATGGTAATTCAGGAATATATTTGCTGGATTAAGATTCTGAGATTGTTTAGCTGTAAGTTAGAAGGGTTGAAGGGTAGCTGAAAGTGACGTGTATTCAAGTGCTTGTTGGAGTACTGACAGATTTTTCTATGGTGAATTGACAAAGTGAGCAGAAAAAAAGAATTTGCTCACTGCAAAAACCAAGTAGCTTGCTTCGATTGCCATGCACATGTATAATGTGTTATGTATGCATGCATGTATATCACGATTTTTTCTCTGCCCGTTTCTGGTTACCGCTCTCTACTTGAGTATTCAACTTGATTTGGTCCTACCACGTTTATAGTTGTGATGTCCTGTCGTTTTTGTTCAGTTTCTGGTGTTCAAAGCCTTTCTTCAAGCGTGCAAAGCACTCCGGAGAAAAATGGGCATTCCGATGATGTTACTAGAAGTCCAGAACTTCTCCAAGAGTTCCTGAAATCGTGTCCCAAAAAGGAGCTTCTTCGAACCCTTGCTGACAAAGAGAAGAAAATTTTGGTATCCGCGAAAAACAAAATGACTGAACTTCGGAGGATAAATAATAAGACAATTAAGAAGCAAGATACGAAAAAGGCTGCATCTAGCCTCAACAATCAGTCTTCATCTAGAAAGCAACTCAGAAAGGCAGAAAATCCTTCTCGTCTACCAATAGTTACCGACCAGTCTTCGGATTCTGGGCATCCTAATTCCTGGATCTGTAAGAATTCTGCTTGCAAAGCTGTTCTTTCAATTGATGACACTTTTTGCAAGAGATGCTCTTGCTGTATCTGTCACTTGTACGACGACAACAAGGACCCTAGTCTATGGCTGGTATGCACGACTGAATCTGGTGAAGGAGATTCATGTGGGTTATCTTGTCACATTGAGTGTGCCATTCAACGTGAAAAGGTTGGGGTTGTTGATCTTGGGCAATTGATGCAACTTGATGGCAGTTATTGTTGTGCTTCTTGTGGTAAAGTCACCGGGATACTTGGGTACGTAAGGTTCCATTTCCTTGCCTTTCAATCCACATTTTTCTTTTTTGTTACTTCAAATATTAGTTGATTCCTAAGAAAGCTGCTTATATTGAACCCATCGTTGGTTGATGCAACTGGGGAACCATGAAGGTCTCCTTTTTGCAGTCATTTTTGTTACTTTTGGTTTTAGCTTCTTTTTTTCTCATCATTCATCATGGCTTTATATATAACAATTGCTCTGTGGTTTATGCTAATATGAATGCAATGGCAACAGATGTTGGAAGAAGCAGCTGACAATAGCAAGGGATGCCCGTCGGGTAGACGTACTTTGCTATAGGATCTACATGAGTTACAGGCTCCTCGATGAGACTTCAAGGTTCAAAGAAATGCACGAAGTTATAAAGGATGCAAAAACCAGATTAGAAGCGGAAGTTGGTCCGTTGAATGGAATTTCAGCCAAGATGGCCCGTGGTATAGTCAGTAGACTCTCGGTGGCGGGCGATGTACAATCACTTTGCTCACTGGCGATTGAAAAGGCAGATAAATGGCTGGCCACTGCTTCTAATGTGAATCCTAATTACAGAGGTTAACTCATATACTTAACTTCTATTTCTTTTCTGCTAATCTGTTTAGACCTCTAATTAACAGTTTTTTGTGTTCATTTCGGCAGAGGACTCTCTTCCGGCTGCTTGCAAGTTTTTGTTTGAAGAGACAACATCTTCATCAGTTGTAATTATTCTTGTTGAGCTGTCTAGTGCATCATCAAACAATGTTAAAGGATACAAACTTTGGTATGGAAAAACTAGAGAAGAGACGCACTCGAAAGACCCCATTTGTGTATTTCCAAGATCGCAACGCCGAATCATGATATCCAATCTGAAACCATGCACAGAATACACCTTTAGAATTATCTCATATACTGATAATGGCGACTTGGGTCACTCTGAAGCAAGGTGCTTTACTAAGAGTGTGGAGATAATTCCCAAAAATTCGAATTTGGCAGCCAGTTCAAATTGCAAACGAGAGCATCCTCACATTGAAGGAAGTTCTTGTAGCAAAATGGGGCCTGACAACACCAAAGTTGTTGGTTCGCCATCTCAGTTCAAGGTTCGAGATCTTGAAAAGATCCTGCATCTTCCTTGTGATCAAGATCAGGGCTATAATGAAGGGTTTTGCAGTGCTGATGCAGAAAAATGCTGTGGAGTAGGCAAGGTGATCAAACCTGAAACCCCAGAAGAACAGTTGCCTCATCTTTCACGCAATCTTGACTTGAACGTGGTCTCGGTGCCTGACTTAAATGAAGAAGTAACTCCTCCGTTCGAGTCGTCGAGGGATGAGGATGATGGATGCACTCTGCAGCAGGTTGTTGAGGCAGATGATGATGCTGCTTCCCATGACAAGGAGAAGGATGGTTTGGTGAGATCACATGGTAGCGGCGACTCTCAAACGTGGACGGGCGGGAGAAGAGGGGATGCGTCTGCTGTCGATTCTGGGGTGGCATTGTGCAGAAAAAGGGGTACCAGCTCAAATGAAGAGATTCATGACTGTGATAGCACTCTGATAAATGGATCTCCATTCCGAAATTCCAATGGTTCTTGTTGCTTGGATGAGAATTTTGAATATTGTGTAAAGATAATCCGATGGCTAGAATGTGAAGGCTACATAAAGCAGGAATTCAGGTTGAAATTGCTAACTTGGTACAGCTTAAGATCAACCGAGCGCGAACGACGCGTAGTTAACTCCTTCATTCAAACTCTCATCGACGATCCTAGCAGCCTGGCTGGACAGTTGGTGGATTCATTTTCTGATATCATTTCCTGCAAGAGGCTGCGAAGCTGATTCTGCAGAAGTATTCTAGTAGGGACGGAATAAGCGCATCGCCTTCTAACGTAGATGATTGCTGTTGGCCACATTGTAAAAGTTTCTCAATTTACATTGACCTCCTATTGTTTGCCATTCTTGTGCAGGTATTTTTCTCCCTATGGGATTATGCCGTGGGAAAATTCTCCGATTGCATCGATCGGCATTCGTAGAAGCGATCCAGGTGATTGGAGGTAATGCTTGGAGGCATTTGTTTATTTCTCAAAGACTCCAATTGCATTTGAAACATTATAATTTAATCATGGAGGATATATATATTATTTACAATCTGTTTGATCGTTGCCTTTAATTCAAGGGAGTACATAATAGTGATCTTGATTCTACCACATGGCAGCTTTTGTTCTCTGTTTCTTTCTCTATTCATTGTCAATATCTTTCTCTGTTTCTTCCTCAATGCAATTGTCAATCTCTGCCTGTCTCTCTATCCTGTTAAAAAAAACAAAACTCGATGTCTCGATGAATCCAATCTAACTCATACAATTTGAATTGGATTATAAACTTGTTTGAGTTTAACTTTGGTTTAAATAAATAAAGATTTTATTAATTGAGTGTGTCAAAGGTTCACTTGAAATAAATTTGGGTTGAAGTATATCTATCTGAATTTATTTTTAATTTTAAAATTATTTCTTTTATTTACCATAAAATTACAGCATTGGAATTTATTCAATTAGCTATGACTCCCTCCGAGAGTCGATTTGTTGATCATTTTTTGTTGATAAAATGATGTGTTGGTTCTCAGAGTCAATTTGTTGGTCGACTGCATGGTATAAGTTTTGTTGATCGAAGGTTGAAGAAAATGCAGAGCTCTTCTATGATCTATGGCGTGCTCTTAATCTATTCTTTGTCATCTGCAATTTTTTAAAAAAATTGAGATTAATAAATCTATTGGTATTATTTTGTAGTACCAAAAATTTATTTTTATTAATTATGTTCACATATGACTTCACAATTTAACATAGACTTGATTTTTTACTTCTGGCGATTTCTTTTCCAAATAAACTTAGATATTGACATTCATGGATTTTTCTGCGATGAACTCGTTTTTAGATATCTGTACAATGAGCTACTTGTAGTACCAATAATTTCTTTTTACCATGGTTGATATGATTTGATATATTATTTTTTAGTTGGAAATGATTGGGTTGATTCGTGGGAGAAGAATAAACCAAAATATTAGGCTCTAAAATATCGGACAATAATTTTGTTCCAGTTCGATTATTTTGATGTTCTATAGACTTGTTTGCATTAATTGTAAAATAACAAATTCTCTTATTCAATGGACTTTATAAAACTCAAATTGAGAGAGCATAAACTTTCAATTATACTCAAATAATTTTATAAAAATTATTAAATTTCAACTAAATGATATGTAATTAAGTAAATTTAAAAGAATATCATCACGTGAGTGATAATTAATTTCATTACTTTTTATTCAACAAAAAAAAAGGAAAATTGTACTAAATTGCATAAAATGAGTATTGTACTTATAAAAATATTATTACTTTTTTTTAATGTCATAAGGTTGAGTTCTAGTTCTCACCGTCTACTTTTGTAAAATTTTAAACTTAATGTGAATATATAAAAATATAAATTTTATTTTTACTTTTGTATTATTCTTGTAATTATCTCAATAAAAATTAGACCCGTTTAACAAAATATATATATATATATATATTTGATGTACTATTAATATGAGTATCTAATATACAGGTATAGGTGAAAATTATATATAAAAAAACAAGTGCCATTTTGAAATGGTTAACGCTGAAAGAAATATCATCAAGTTAGTGATAATTTAATTTCATTACTTTTTATTCAACTAAAAAGATAAAGACTTTAAAAAAAAAAAAGACACTAAAGTTTTCTGATTTAATTTTGTTTGCTTCCAAGTTTCCAATCGTTCATCTTGATCACACTACCAATCCTATTTCCAATCTTAAGAAGAAAACGTCGTCGTTTTGACGGTCATCCAGAAGGCCTGCTCCTTCTCAGTTCTCCCCTGTACTGGTCTCTTTCGTCCGCTCACCCACCCGCCAATGGGTAAAAAGAGCAATAAAAACATGCAGACTTTGCTCGGATTCAGAGCTTCACAGGTCCTGATCAATTCCTCCACGATTTCTCTCTCTCGGACCCTTCCTTCACTCAGCTTCTTCCAGATCAATTCCTCTCAGCTCCCCGTCTCCGGCCGAAGTTTTGTGGCCATGGCTGGCGCAGACGAGTTTGTTAAGGGCAGCGTTCATCCGAATGGCCTAGCCGTCATCACTCTTGATCGCCCCCGAGCTCTCAATGCCATGAACTTAGGTTCATTTCTTTCATAATTTTATCCTATTGCCTCTGAATGTTTGTGAATTTAGCGATCAAGTTGAGTAACATATCAGTGTGACTCTAGTTTGTTTACCTTTAGTGTGAAATTTGGGACACAATGTCGATTCGTTCTAATAATTTATGCCGATTCGAGTTGAGGTTAAGATTTACTCTGTAGTTGTTGTGGAATTAGTATGTTATGTTTTTAAAAGTTTCCAGAACATAAATCAACGTATCTGGTTGTATTAACTATTGGGTGATTTTGAGAATAGTTGGATTAACTATTAATAGTGAGTTTGTGTCGATTTTGGGAGTATTTGTATTTAACTATTGAGTACTGAGTTTGGATGATTTTGAAGGTAGTGCTTCTAATTGGAGTACTTTTCTATAACATTAATTAAGTGATTGAGTGATTCTTCTAATGGGCTAAGCCTTTTTACTAAACTTAAGTATTTAAAAAAATTTCAAAATCATTTTTACCATGTAACGAATTATAAATATAATTTTACTTTGATAAGTACTTTTTAATTGGCTGCTATATTCACTATTTCGAAAATCATGCCAAACTTATAAGCATGAGTTTTATGGAGATCTTATTTTATTTTATTTGAATTCAACAATTGTTGGTGGGAATCATCGAACTTTGGGATGATAATTGATGCCTTATTGGGTAGCTTTTGAATTAACTTCAAGATTTGGAATTTGTTTCCTGATAGTAGTCTGATATCGTGTTGGTTTGGTTTGATTTTGGACATACAGTTCAATAGGTTTGGTATGTTTATGCTTTGCTTTCTGTTGTAAAGTTTCTCAATGATGCAGATATGGACATACAGTACAAAAGGTATCTTGACGAATGGGAGCAAGATCCAAAGGTCAAATGCGTCCTTGTTGAGAGCAGCTCATCTCGTGCCTTTTGTGCAGGTAAGAGATTATAAAAAAGGTCTTTCAAATTCACGAGGGATCAAGCCTAACAATGTTTTAAAAGGCTAAAAACAGCCCCCAAAGCTTTTTTTCTTAAAGATTTTAGGCGGTATGAGGCCTACGCCTTGATTTAAATTAAAACCATGAAAACATATGATCAGGTATTGCCTAGCATGGTGTTTATAGAAGTACAAGAAAAAGTTTACCTACATCGAATGTCACTTTTTATTTGATAAATATTGGAATAAGTTTTCTAATTTTATTTTTAATCTTAAATGTTTTTTAACCTTTGGTGGTCAAAGTAGCAATGGATTAAATCACCTCAAGCTTTCATATTTTTGAAGAATAGATAGCAAATCAATATTATTCTTCCAACCTTCGCACGAGGTGTAATGTCTTCAAAAGGCTTTGTGTGTTCAAAGAAGGCACAAACTTTGGGGCTACAAATTAAGCCTCACCGAAGGCGAGCCTGACGGTGTAGGCCTAAAAGGGTTTTTAAAACATTGTAGCCCGATTAAGTTCTATCACATTTGGGTCTCTTTTTTCATTTTGGGGTGATTGGTAAGGTTATGAGGGTGGCCATTTATCACCAATGCAGGAATGGATATTAAAGGGGTTGTTGCTGAAATTCAAAAGGACAAAAACACTACTCTTGTGCAGAAGGTTTATTATTATTTATTATATTTTATTTGTTTTCTTTCGTATGATTCTTGTTTTGTATTAAAAGAGTTCTTTGCTAGTTTGATTCTTAGTTATGTACTGGTCATCTTTGTAATTTACTGAATTCTCTATTGACATTTGGTTTCTCTCTGTGGTTCTTTGGTTTCTCTGTTTCACTTTCGTGTTGCATTGTACGATTAGTTAGTTGAAGCATTGGTTATTAATTACTTAAGTATTAGTTTATTCACAGGTGGTGATGTGAAGCAGATCACGACCAAAAACAAATTACCAGATATGATTGAGGTCTTCTTTGTGCTTTCATGCTTTTTGAAATTATTTTGTTAATAATGGAAGACAATGGCATCCACCTATCTAGGATATCGTCTGAGCTTGCAGTTATAGTAAATGTATATTCTAGGAGGGGAAAAAAGGAAAATTTCTCCCCTAAGATTTAGTTAGTACATGCACAAGAGGTAGTGTATTTTGTTGAGGATTGAGTGAGGAGTGTAGCTAGCGCTCTCGAATTTGCTAGGCTGTGCGGCTGTGCCTATAAGGTGCTTTGGCACCCTCTTATGCTCACTATTAGTAAAATAATATTTTGATTACCAAACATTTGCTAATTGCTAATCCCAAATGTTGAAGAATTAGGACGGTTTTACTATGAGATTAGCTTAGCTGCATAATAGCTACTCGGGCTCCCACAATTGTAACAAAATAAAATAAAAATTGATTGCTCCAAACTCCATGCCATATTTTGATAGTCTTATATTTCCGCACTAGTATTTACATGTTTTATGTGTTTTCATTTTCTTGCCTTTCATGTTAATGCTTTTGCTGAAATTTGAAATGACGAGGGGCAGCTTCTAGCTATAATATGATGGAGAAATATTACTTTCTGAGTGAACCTTGTTGCCAATTTTATGTCCTCCAACTTTTGGATAGTTTTATGCTTTTCCAAGTTAGAAGTCTGCATCGAAAGCAAACAATCTCTTTAATTTATCATTTGTTTTGAGTGCAAATGATGACTATAAATTTGTCATTCGAATAAAATGTAATTTTTTCTTTTTCTTTCTGATTTTGTGGCAATCAACTTTGATGCATTTGAAATTACTATGATTTTTGTCTCTGTCAGGTATTTACAGCAGAGTATTCTTTAATATGCAAAATTTATGGTTACAAGAAACCCTACTTGTCCTTCATGGATGGCATAACAATGGGTTTCGGTATAGGCCTATCGGGTCATGGCCGTTACAGGATCATCACAGAGGTATATATATATGATATCTTCCCTGTTATGCTGACACGTGTCTTTTCTTATTATATGCTGATATGATTCAGTTGTAATTCAGAGGACCCTTCTTGCGATGCCAGAAAATGGAATTGGTTTGTTCCCAGATGTTGGGTTTTCATTCATAGCAGCACAAGGTCCAGGAGAAGGATCAGTCGGTATGCGTTCTTTATCTTAAGCCTTTTTTTCTCTTCTTATTCTGGTCACTGAAGGTTGAGCACAGTGATAAAAAGCCACTTCATGCTAAAGATCATGGGCTAAAGCGCCCCCTATAACCCTGTCTTCAAAATCTCGGGTCCAACCACCCATTTGATAACAATTTGATTTTTAGTTTTTGAAAATTATGTTTTTTTTGCTCACAATTTCTTAGTATGTTTTAACCTTTCTTGAAAACACATTTTGAACTCTCAGCCAAATTTCAAAGTCAGTATCAAGTTTTTGAAAACGGCTTTTTTAGTTTTCATAAAGCATATGCAAAGCAAAAAAATACAGAGGTGAAAGTACGTTTACAAGCTTACTTTTTAAAATAGAAAACCAAAAACGAAATAGTTATTAAACGAGGCTTTAAAAAGCAAGTTGTTTCCTAAAGTTGGCTTTGGTGTAGGCAAAACTTCCTTGAGATTAGGAAGAATTTAACGTTCCTGCATCTTTAATTCTCGATCACTTGGTAGGTGCATACCTTGGACTCACTGGTAAAAGAATTTCGACGCCATCTGATGCGCTATATCTTGGTCTTGGAACACATTACGTTCCATCTGGGAACTTAGGTTCACTGAAAGAGGGGCTCTTGACCGCAAACTTGTAAACTCCCAAACTTCTCTCTATCGAATTTTTCTCATTATTATAGCCATATTATGTTAGCCTCTTCATATTCTAACTGTGCAATTTCTGTTCTTCTTTAACTTTTGGTTTTCCATTCTGTTAATCAATGTTTTTCAAGTAGAAGAAATTCTGTCTTCTGAAGTAATGGTCTGTGACTGTTGATTGAAGTAGTAGGTTTTCTTTTCTTGCAGTTCCGAGGATCCTCATCAGGATATCAAAACTCTCCTGGCAAAATACGGTAGTGACCCTGAGTCTCCACCATCATTGAAATCGCTCTTACCTCAGATAACTTCATCTTTTGGCGCCAACAAGCCTGTTAAGGAGACGGTTGAAGAACTAAAGAAGCACCAACTTGATACAAATTCTTCAGGTACGTGGCTTCTTAAAAACTTGTTTGCAAGTGAAACCGCTTCTTTTATTGCACTTTCTGGAAGAAGTACTAGTTAAGTGTCCAAGCACTATGTGTTTTGTAGTATTTTTAAAGTTTTCAAAATCTATTTTGATTATCAAACCAAATAGTAGAAAATTTGAAAGGGCTTTTAAAAAAGTAATTTTATCCTTCCAAAAGTGATCCTAAACTCACTCTAATTATGATAATGAAATTTATAGAAATCATTGCATACTCCTTAGAAACTAGAAACTGGACGAGGAATACTTTCATTCTAACCTTTTGAAACACACACACACACAATCTAAGGCAAACTGAGGAATGCTCACTAATAGGCCATATTTTCTACATGCAGTGGTGGAGTGGGCTAAAGAGTCTCTTCAAGGAATTGGAAAAGGCGCTCCATTTTCACTAGCATTGACACAAAAGTATTTCTCCAAAGTTGCTGCAGCACATGGAAAGAGTAACGACGAACTATCCACGGTGAGCTGGAAGATTTTTAGTTCGCACGCTTTTGTATTCTTTCGTGAAAATTGCTCGAATACCTCGACAGAGTTTCCATAGTAATGCACTTCCTTTCTATCTGGACGGTTTGCAGCTTAATGGTGTTATGAGAACCGAGTATCGCATTGCCTTGAGGTCTTCCCTGCGCCATGATTTTGCAGAGGGAGTTCGAGCAGTTTTGGTGGACAAGGATCAGGTTAGGCTCTCTTCAATCTCCTCTCAAACTTTAAAAATGTCTAATAAAACCCTACACTTTAAAAGGTCTAATAAATCTACGAGGTTGAACTTAACATTGTCTAACAAGTCCCGACTTTTCAATTTTGTGTCTATAGAATTGGGGTTTTAAGGACCTATTAGATACCGATTAAAGTTGATCTATTAAACACAACAACAAAGTTCAGAGATATTATAAACTGTTTAGAGTTAAAAGATACCTATTAGAACACAACTGAGAATTATCATACTTTAATTTCACTGAACAATTATCATTACAAATTTTCACCAAATTTTTTCTCTAAGAAACAAAAATAAATCTTTGAAAAAACAGTTTAGAAACAACCTCTAACGTTTCTAATAATTAGAAGTTCAAGTGCTCCCTCCCGGAGTCCAAATCTTCCCACTCTAGGCTCTGTCATTAAAGATTATTGATCAATAGCGAATAATCTCGTATTTTTAGAACTTAAATTTGCATTTATAATCTATTTGATCTTTCGATCTGGCAGAATCCGAAGTGGAATCCTTCAAACTTGGAGGATGTTGATGACAGAGAAGTAGACTCCCTCTACGAACCACTAAGTCCAGTGGCTGAATTGGAAGTGTGAATTACATAAAAGAAAAACCAGTTTCAATCAATAACTGCCAGAACTTTGGCAAGAACCGTAGATGAAGATGAAGAAGAAGATGTTTATGGAATTGCAGGGAGCAGCAAAAAACCGTGCAGGTTCTTTATTACTTGTGTACTTAACTGTCCACGAAAATTATTGGAGAATTTGTAGAATTTGATAAATATTTGAACGTGCGAATAAGTTCCCACGACTTCTCTTTGAATATTTTTACCTTTTTCTGGGCCCCCTTTTAAAAACTTCTTTTTCTTTTTGGAATAAAGTTATAGGCGTGGAAATAAAATGTAGATGGGACTATGGTTTCCTTAGTATATACACTATTAATGATGATTAAAAAAGGGAGATAATTGTGGTGATCAAACCTCAGTATTCGGGTATCAATTTTGGTGACGTTATAGGCTGGCTTGAGATTTGCACGCGAGTTAGAGTGTGAGAGACATTTTTCCAATTTATCCTAAATTTTCCTTTTTAGTTTAATGTTGTTAGTGTTGTCCTCGATACATAGAGTAAAATAAAAGTTTACAACTTCGAAAAGTAAGATATGGGCAATTTTGCTTAGTCAATAAATCTAGAAATATGTTGTAAAACGATTTAAATTAAGTATTTTTTTTTAAAAGAGCATTGACAACATATTTTACGTTTAGAAAACAAGTAAAAAATAAAAAATAAAAAACTGCAATGGTAGATGAATAAATAACCCAATAGCCAACGTAGTAGAAGCAATCCATATTAAAAACTACGATTTTTTAATATCAAATTTATTGACCTCTCGAACTTGTAAAAATAAATAGACTACTCAATTTGTGTAATGGAAAAACTTCAATTTCTATTTACATTATTCTAAGTTATTAAATTTTAATCAATTTTAATAATTTTAACTCAAAATATCAACAAAATATTAATAACTAAACATTTAGGTAAAATACTTATTAATTTTAATAATTTTTATAAATATATTTTTGTTGATATTTCTATCCACATTCAATAAGTTGAATTTGCGTTTCATTCCATTCTTTTTTTTTTTTGAAACATATATCCATTTCATTTGTCCCGTATAATTTTAAAATTTTAAATTGGCTGATCACGCGCACAAATTCCCACCTCGTAGGCTCCGTTTTCCTATAAAAGGCGACGACCTGCCAAATTTCATTTCCTCCCGCTTCTTCTTCCTTCTCCGTCGTTCATCAATTATCCTTTTTCCCGCCGGATTTCCTCCACAAAAAAATGTCTTCCCCGTTTCAGTCCCCTTTTCCGGCGATCAGAACCGTCACAATATCGTACTCGGAGCTCCAAGTAAGTCAATCTCAGGCACCGTTTGCTAATCGAGAAAATTAGACAGTGTCATTGAAGTTCACTTTCACGCATCATTTTCAGTTCTTATTGCTATTTTATTGGCATAAACGTGGTTTAATTAGATGTAGGATTCTAGATGAGTGGTTTGTTTGTTATGGCGATCCTATACAAATTCGTAACAAGTAATATTCAAATGTTTTCTGTTTTTGGTGGAATTTTATGAACACAGGACAGGAGTGTTGACTTGTCGACGAAGATTGAAGAAGGGTTTGGACCCAAGGGGCTCGGAATTCTATCGGTTACTGATGTATGTTACTCGTACGCAGTCATCTATTGTCTGTTTCTATTTATTTTATTGTCCTTGATCTTTTTATTCTTCTTTCTGATACTATATTATGTAATTTTACTTTCCCTATAATTTTATTTATCATTGTGTTTACCCCTCTATTCTCCCAAGTTAACTGGAATCTTTTGCTATTTTCCTTTGGAAATATATGTTTTCAAGAAGTAATTGATCATACGATTTATTCTTCTAACGTAATGAATAACTTTCGGAGTTTTGTCTTATGATGGGTATAAAATTGTAGGTCCCTGGATTTCCATCGTTGCGGCATGATCTTCTACGTCTTTCATCGAGGTATAAGTTGGTAACTGGAACTGCAAGCTATCCTTGATCGCTTTACAATTTATTGTAATTTAGCTAATAGTTTATGCATCCTCTTGTGAAATTTTAGATTAGCGAGGCTACCAGAAGAGACGAAGAAGGAGCTCGAAGACCCTCATAGTAGGTAGTTCTTATGATGCTTTTGAAGCAACTCATCTCTAAAAAAATTCAATTTGTTTATTATCAATCACTTTGATATGCTTTGAAGTTTAATCCACTTAATGATGGGTATGATTATTAGAAAATTTGCCCATCCTACCAAATCCTTCATTGTAAATTTTAGTAAATTTAGTGAATCCCTAATCGAGTGTTTAGAATTGTTTAGAGTCCAACATATGTCATATTTCTGGTGGCAATGCATTATTATGTATTTACTGCTCAAGAATCCACAACCCATAGTATTAAGGCTCTATGAATTTCTTTTAACCCGGTGAACATTTATACATAGGAGATATTGTGTCAAAGAAACTTTTGATGATGTATTGTCACAATTTATTTTAATCTGCCGTGACCTTCTATTTCTCTTCATTTTTGTCAAGGTATAATTTTGGATGGAGTCATGGGAAAGAGAAACTTGAATCTGGGAAGCCTGGTATATAACTTTTATCTGTCTCTATACACTGTCTAAGCCAGCGACAAGCAGTAATTATGGTTCTGGAAAGCTTTTAATATCATAGCTACATTGTTTATCCCGTTTTGTCCACATTGCATCTTAAATTTGCACTAGAGGTGTTGGTAACTAGGGGAGAAGAACATTGCCGAGATTGTATTATATGATTGATGGTATACTGGTAGTTTATGTGTATTATATTTGAGAATATGAACCTTCACTTTCGTACAGCTTAATTTTACAACTAGATTGAGCTGACCCTGTGTAAAATTTATCTGTAATTCGTGTTTCAATTGTGCAGATTTGTTGAAAGGCTCATTCTATGCTAATCCAACATTGGATAGTCCAACAACAGATGCATCTTTAATTAAAAGGTAAAAGTAGCTTTTATAGTTAAGCCCATTTTTGTACATCATTTTCTTGCCTTGATTTAATCTCTATTTCTTCATTGCCAAATTTGAATCCTATTTACTGTCTTTGTTGACATTTAGCTCAAAAGTGGTAGTGGTAAACGAAAATATTTGTATATTATATTGATGACCTTGTAATGGCTAATATCTCCACAGATTTTACTACTCTTTTTTCATTTTTTCTGGGCAAAACTGAATCATCTAGATACAGATTTGATTTTATAAATATTAGTATATTATCATTCACCATCTACTTCTTCAGGTATCCATCATATTGTGGTTCAAATATTTGGCCTTCTAGAGAACTTCCAGAACTTGAATTAGGTATGTACTAAATAAATTATATGAATTTATTTGCTTTAAAATCGAGACTTATTTGTTGTGTAACATGGACACATTTAATTGGTTGCTTGACCTTGCCTCTATGCTATTATTCTGGATTTATTATAAGAAAATTCCGTGGTCTTTATATGATTTTGTACAATTTGAGTACAGATTATCATCTATTTGATTTCTGATTTTGTGTACACTCGTGTCTATACTAATATAACACATGATGTTTCAGTTGTTATAGCCATATATTAGGTGATAAAAGTTGATTTTAGGATATGCTGTTGTTTTATGCAGTGTGAATACTTCTGGAAATTGTTGCTTTATCCACTTGTTTTTAAGTACATTTCAATTGAAAAAGGCATGTTTAAATTTGAAATCCATGACCGGGATTCAATCGGAACATACCAGCAAAGCTCATTAAATTTTAATTATTGTTCAATTGTTGTGTTGAGATGTATTGAATTTTATTAATCACTGAGGATTGACAATTTATTTGTAGCCTTCAAAGCTCTTGGAAAGCTGATTCTTGATGTTGGTTTGATGTTGGCCTATCATTGCGACCAATATGGTACATTCTCTCTTTGAAAATTTAGATTCTCGAACAAAGGAACTATTCAATTGAATGCAGTTGTTTTCTGAAGCATAATTTTTCCCCATAACAGCCAATTGCATAGTTCCTTAAATTTTAAGAGGCTTCTTCATGATTAACTGGATGGGTAATCCAGATGGAAGTAGTTTCATTCCCTGTATTTTGTTTGAGAAAGATATGCTCCATTATGTTTATATGTTACTTCTTTTGTAGTAAAATATCAACGCCTTAAATAAAAAGAAATCTTGGAGTATAAGGTTTCATCTAAAGAGTTATTTTTAACTTGATCCTAGCCGTGTAGCTCGAGGCCTTCGGTTTGTACCACCTTGCACAAACGTTATTAAAATCGCTGCAAAAGATTGCTATCTGTACTTAGTATGATCTTTGCAGTTACACTTTCCATCTCTGATGTGTTGTTGGGCAGCTTCTAAAATGATGAAACTGCATGAGGATGAAGCCCTTGAAAAGACGCTTCTTAACTCCCGGTGTCATAAAGGGCGTTTGCTTTACTATTTTCCAGCACAGCAGAGGTTATATACCATCAATGTTATTTTCATGTTACAAACTACCCGTTACTAATTATGTCGGCTGTTCTCCAAGCTATCAATATCTGTGAAGATGTAAATCTAAAATTTGCTTGCTAACTGACTAGTTTTATACATTGGTGGTATTTGAAGAACCCCAACCCACTGCATACAAATATAGGAACATAGTGGTAAAAATGGGTTCTGGATAAAATAATTTTGCTTGGAAATTCCTTACCTTATAACTTACCTTTTGAAGTATGACTTGCAGCACTTGTGCTGAAGATAGGAATAATCTGTCTTCTTGGTGTGGATGGCATACAGATCATGGTTCACTAACAGGTAGTTGGTTTTAGTTGCTTATCTTTTTAGTATGTTATACATTATATGTATGTCTTATCAAAAACATCTTGGAAGAAATCCTCAATAAGTTGTAAAACCACATATTGGGAGAGAAGAGAGAGGCAGTGGCAGTTCGGTCTTTTACCATTGTGTTACTATTTTTATCTATACCTTAATTTTTCTTCAATTCTATTTGCAGGCCTGACCTGTGCAATGTTTACAAGAGACGGTGTGGAGATACCTTGCCCTGATAGTGCTGCTGGCCTTTACATTAGGACAAGAGCTGATGAAATTGTTAAAGTAAAATATCGTTCTGTCTTTGCTGGCATGTCATTATCAATATGAATAGGCATTTTCACTCACATTCATCAGTCAAATTAAATGCATACTTTCCTTTGACCTAAATTTCAACTGCCTTGGCATTGGAGGGGCATTTTAGTGCAAGTATTTAGGAGTCTAAAATACTTATTTTCCTTGCATTAAGTTACTTGTTATGGGTTTTTTTATATAAGTTGTGAACTATAAGGAAGAGTATAGAGGTATTTACATAACAGACTAAGACATGAAAATTATATAGAACAAAACTAAAAATTGTGGTATACCATCTGTCATTTTCTTTTAATCATTTCATAATGTTTTCACATTATTGTTTGTAGGTTTCTTATGGAGAGGATGAAATAGCATATCAAATTGGTGAAACTACTGAGATTCTGTCCAGAGGTTATCTGTGTGCAACACCACATTGTGTTCGGGTATTCTCTAATCTCTACCTAGCCATTTATTCTATAGTTGGATGAGCTTTTGCATCATAAAATACTTGTTTATTTTTTCTCAATATAGTAATTATTTTTGTTCAACTTTTGCAAGGTAGATTATTGTTCTTGTATTTACTCGTTTTGGTTCTTTCTGCTTTGTTTGTCAATCAACGTTTCTCATGGGGCATAATTTTTCTTCATGATCTAAGCTATTCAGAGGGAGTTTGAGATAATTTTTGAAAGGGTTAAAAGTGCCTTTAGTTCGATAAATATGATTTTTAAAATTATAGAAACATTAAAGCGCTTAATTAGCGTTTCTTCCAAAAACTTTCAAACGAGAAATGATTTTAAATGAAAGAATTTGCAAAATTCAAATTCACCTTTGCTAATAAATGTAAATTTCGATGGTTTTTTTTTTTTGTTCCTATTCTGTTAGGCACCTCAAGGGGAGGAGGCTTTTAATCTTGAACGATCCACATTTGCACTGTTCATGCAACCTGATTGGTATGATTTCTTACTCAAGAATCAAAGATGAAACGAACCATGTTAAAAACTTAAAATTTGTTAATTTTCTCTGATAGTTATAAAAATTACAGGAGAATTAGCTATATTGCGGGTTTGCTCTGTTTATCCTCCCTTTTCTTTGTTTTCCAGGGATCAGAAGCTCAATTTTCCCGAGGAGGTTCATATTCATAAAGAGGTATATTGTTCAAACTCTAAAGTCACAAATTTTCAGTTCCTTTGGGATTCAAAAGATTGTTTAAAGTTACTTGACCGATCATATCAAACCCTCAAATGATAGGAAAATATTTATGGTTGGGTATAAATAATTTTCAAATATTAAAAAAAGCATAAATACTTGAATTTTTTTTTTACATAAATTTTCTCATCTCCATTTCTTCTAAAATATATTCTCACATTTATATTTTGATTGTTGAGATTTATTATTTTTTTCTTGTACACACTTTCTCCTACTTATATGCTCTCATTAACCTCTCCCTCCACACCTTCTTTGCTTTGTATCTTTCTATCTATGCATTTTCTTTCACTATCTTCTGTTTGAGAAATTATACTATATTGCACAAATTTAAAAACTATATCTTTAAATACCACAAAGTTCTATTTTTTTTTAAATAAAGCATTAAATTGACTTTTCTTCATGTGTTTTATAATATTTGAGTTCAAGTTTGATTTCAACTTTTAATCTAATTTTCTGTCTTTTTCTCACAGATAATAGCCTCAAATTGTGCCCTAACATTTGGAGAGTACTCTGAAAAACTGCTCGACAAATATTACCACCTGAAGCCATAGGGAACCACAGTGCTTCTGTTTCTCTTTTCAGCAGCTGTTATTGTGAAGGTACCCCACATTTTTAATTTCCTTTCAATTTTAAAACGTAAATATAAATAATAATAAAATATGTTTCTGCACGTTTTTTTTAATATAAGAGAGAGAGAGAGAGAGAGAGAGAGAACTCCCTTTCAAGATATGTAGGCTGATAATTGACGACAGAATGAGGAATATAAAATCGAAGAAAAAGGCAAAATCATATTAAACTCCCAACCTAATCCGTTAGCCGCCAAGCTTAGACAGGACAAAACCCTTTTGTTTGGAATTTTAAATATAAGACTTTTTGGCTTCTTCTAGAATGCTCAACCACAGCCTTTTTTTTTTTTTTGGTTAGAATTTTATGAAATTGTTAAGAATAATTTTCAAGGATAAAATATTTCCTAATTCGTTAGCTTAAAATTTTTTTTATTTAATAATAATTTTACATGACATTAGAGTAAAAATTGGAATTACAAAATTTATATGGGAGACAAAATTACCTTCTATATATTTTTTTATATTACTACAATATTTTCAATCTAAAAATTAAAGGAGGTAGAGTATAAGAAAAACTGGCTCCGTATTTCATTCCCCATCTTCTACGAAGTTTTGTGAAAATTGGAGCAAGGATTTCTTATGGGGAACTTGTAGGGATAGGGTTCTTCATAGAGAATTATTCTTTTTTTTTATTCTTTTTAATTTATTTTTAGTTCAATCGTTTATTATTATTATTTTTTAAATAGATTATCAATTAAATGTTAAATGCTTTGTGGTCATCCAAATTGTCAAAATTTCATTGGAATTTCCATTTAAAAGGAACCATCTTAAATTTCTTAAGAATGTCACATAGTTTATTAAAAAAGCAATATTTTAAAATTTAAATTTCACAATTAAAAAGGTAAACATCACAATAATATCTTGTAAATTTTACATACAAATGTTTATGTTTATATAATAATAAATAAATAGCAGAAGTGGAGAACACTTTCATCTCTGTCTCTGCTTAGGTCCAGGGAAAATTTCATCCTACCCTTACAAATAAGGGGATTTCTTAAATTTAAAGATTTTGAGTTTAATAAAACAAAATATTCTTATTTTAGTTGAAATATGAATGCGTTAAATAATTAAATTGGATAGCATCACATTTGGAGAAATCATTTATGATCTGTACAAAGTCCCATCATATGATATGGTGATTTAAAGTGGTATCTCTTCACATAATCAGTGTGGGCCCAACAAACATTGAGGGACTGCTTGATGTTGATGGTGGATGGTTGTTAGAAATGTGGGTGAATAGATTTGACTAAATTTACAAAAAAAAAAAGAAAAGAAAAAATTTGACTAGCAGTCATATCATCAACCCCTTGCAGCTTGAGGTGGGAGAGAATTTCCTCCATCCCTTTGGAATTTGTGGGGGCAACTTTAACCCCAACCCCAACCCCAAGTGGTCCTTTTCTTTTTCTTTTTTTAAGATATTATAAAATTTTCCTTCTGTTTTTAAATCCCAAAATCTCACTATATAAGCTTTGAGGCTTTTAAAATAGTTTATATTGTTAAATCTTTTTTATTAGCTATAGTATTAGAAAGCTGACATGTGGTCTTTATAATTAATTTTATACTATTTTAAATTTATGTGATATTGATTTACCAATTTTATATTTCTTTTCTTTTTATGTGATGTGGAAGAAATAATTTATAGCATATTTGTTAGGTCCTCTTTGTTTCTTTACATTTCAAGATTTCAAAACTTAAGAATTGAATAAAAATATTTTTTGAAACCTTAGGGATTAAAATTTAAAATGGTACTCATAAAATACCTTTAGACTTTTTCTAAAAGTAAAATTAAAAAAAAAAGTTAGTGTCACTTTTAAGTCCTCATAACTTAGGAGTAAATACTCGATTAATATTTTTTTAAGATAAAATAATACTTGTAGAAGTAATTTCAAATTAATTTTTATTTATTTATTTATTTTTGAGTACATTTCAATTTCATTTTTAACATTAGGACTAAGGTGGCCACATAATATTTATTGAGTAGCGCAATTTTATATTTTTAACTCTGTATATATACAAAAAATTTAAGTTTAAAAGATGAAGGAGGTAAACTAAATCGTTTTTATTTATCTCATAAACATAAAGTCAACCTTCCTTATTTATTAGAGACAATGGACCTTCGGCATTTTACAATAGTATAATATTTTTTGATTTCGACATAATTCTTATGGTTTTTGTTTGTACACAAAAGTCTTCGTACAAATAGAGATATTATCTTATCTTTATATGCTCATGATCTTTTCTTTATCTAGCGTGAGACTTTGGTCGCATTTTCAACAATCCTTCACTCTAACAAAATACTATCGAACCTAGTTTTGCTTTTGATTTTACCTAAGAGATTTTAGACCAATAGAGATATCGTCTCATACTTATGTATCTACAATCTTCTCCTTATTTAATCCAAGTGAGATTTGGTCTTATTTTCTACATTCTTTTGAGTTTGCTTTGAGTATTTATTCATAAAGATATGAACATTTTGTGATTTTTCTACAGTCAAATATTATAAGGTCGAATTATTATTTGATCTAAAAAATTAAGATGTGAATAAATTGATATAAATTAAACACTCGTAGATATTTAAAAATATATATATAGAGGGCAGGGGCAAGGAAAGAGAGTTTTTGACAACTCTTGGTTTGTGACCCCACGCTGATTCGACCCACCCAGCTGCGAGGGGATAAGCATAAGCGATGCATTTACCGGCGACGAATCTGCATTTCTTTTCTTGTAGTGAAGGCGGCACTTAGAACTTAGAAGCCGACAACAGAGTAGAAGAAAACCCACGTGGTTTTATAAAGTCAAGTGCCACGTCGGATGATAGCGAAAAGCTTCTGAGATGGGCCCCACTTCTCGATGTTACCTTCCTACACGGTTCCTTTTTCTGGTTCCTTTTTTACCACACTTTTTGTTCTCCTTAGGTCCAAATTGCCCCTTTGCTCTCCAAAATGAAGCTTTTTTTTCAAAGAATATATATTATTAAAAATTAATTATGCTTTTAAAGTTTCTCCACATGTCTATTGGCAAGATAGAGCCTGCATTTTGGCTTATTCTTCCTTCCTTTTTTGGTCTTTCGTTTCACATATTTCAAATAATTTATTCAACTACAACTTATTAGATGCGAATGCACCTTTATTTTATCAAACTTTGGAGAAGATGCCATCTCTCAAAAGCGGCTATAATTATTATGATTTCAAAGTTAAAAAAAAAAAAAAATCTACTCCCTAGATTACAGAACTCAAATTTCCTTCACATGATATTCTCAACTTTTTAAGTCTTTAGCAAATTTTTGCTCTCTTTCGGGAGAGGAGTTGCTACCTCTCAACTCTTCTCCAGTTGATTATGATATCAATTGTATTTCTTAAAATGAGGTTTAGAAACTTTCTACTCGAAAGTGTGATGCAAACGTGGTTCTCTGTTCATGAAAGAAGTAATGAAAGGGGTGCTATGATAAAATTGCCTTTATTGTTGCTTTATAGATCATAGATTTAGCAATGCATTTTAAGTTGGTTGTTGCTTTAATTCTAGACCAGTTTTTAATGTATCTGATCATATTATTTTGAATCCATAATTCAATTTCAATTTGAGGAAAACAAAACAAGATCAAAATTACAATAAAAAAGGATGAAGTTAATTTTTGTACCTATAATTTGAGAATCAAAGTGATAGATCAATCAGAGAAAGGAATTTGAAACTCTTAGTGAGTTTATTATCTTGCAATGGATGAGAAGATAAATATTTTGTATTTTTTGTCATTGTTGTCGAAGAAAGGATGGGGTACGGGATATTTTAGATGCATTACTTTTGAAAATAATTTAAGTTTTAGAATATTTTTAAAATAAAACAGCTGATGAGATGAAGATAAGAGTTTCAATTTTCTGTCATTGTTGCAGTCAAAAGAGAGAGTGAGGCAAAATATAGGGGAGATTTTCAAAAGCGAAATAATTTGGATTTTAGAATATTTTAAAAATTTTGTTTTAATTTTAGTAATATTAAAAAAATCCTCTAATATGATGCCACCTTTTTTCCCTTTTTGATTTTATTATTTTAAATTAGAAGTCATTTTGTCACAAATATTAGAGATGATACTATTTAATAAATGAATTAGAAGTCATTTTGTTACCATTTATAGTGCGTGTATGGTAATTTATCCATAATTTAACAGTGCTAAAAATAATGAAATTAAAAAGAATAAAAAAAGAAGGGTAATAATGTAAATTAGCGAACACTATTTCAGTCCACAAGGTGACGTCAATATGGGGACTACATTAAGTAAAAAGGCAATTAAATGGAACGAGTGGCGACAACGGAAACTTCTGGCCCAAATGGCTACTCTATATATACGCCATTGGCCATTCCCACAGCCTTCAATTCCCCCAATTCCGTCTTCCTTCACAAATTGATTTTCTCTCTCTCTCTCTCTCTCTCCTCTGCTTCCTCCGGCGATCGGTCTCCGCCCTAATGCCCGCCGCTCACTCTTCTCAGTCAGCGCAACTCCGCCTCAGAACTCGCCGGAAAATCAGTTTTCGGAAGCGGTGCTTGCGGATGATCAAGCAGCAGAAAACCAGATTCTACATCCTCGGACGTTGCATCTCCATGCTCCTCTGCTGGCACGACCACGATATCACCGATTAATCCGCTTAAATCCACCGTCGATCGTTGTTTTTCCCCTCCGAGCGCGACAGATCAACTTCCTGATTCGTCCGCGACAGCCTCCGATCGGAATCGACCTCCGATTCTGGACGGATTGGAGGAATTTTTAGGTATGGTAGGATTGGAGGTACGGTTTCTCACCGGCGGTAGCGCTGTGGTTCGTCCGCCGGAGCAGATTTCTCCTCGGCAGGGAAGGCAATAATAGCGAGGTCTCTTTAGACTTTCAATTTTTTCGTTTAACAAATGTATACTGGAATCTTGAATCGGGATACATGTATATAAACTATTGATCAAATTAGGTTTACTTTTTTTTTTTTTTTTTCCCTTCTCTCTTTCAATTTGGTTCTGGCTTCAAGAATGATGAATTGAATTTTATTTGTGAGTTTGATTTCATCCAATGAAGAGGCATCGTTGAAACATATAATCAAGAGCTTAGTTCTTTGATCGGTTTGGTTTGTAAATATCAGAATTATAATTTCTGTTTTGTTTGACGATTAGATACAGAATTGAAACCGTGCAAGAAAAAATGTTCGATAGTAGAAAATAGAAATATGATTAGAAATTTACAATTTGCTGCATTGGGATTTTTGTTGTTGAAGATCTGTATTATTTGCAATTGGAATTCGATTTATGGTATAAATTATGAACTTTGGGATGCCCTGTCCCATCTGAATCTACTCTGGTGGATTGAAAACCGAACCAGAAAACCATTAATTTCTGAATTAATAAAATTGTTGAATATGTCGAATACTTATTAAACCCAATTAAAAATTTACAAAATTAGTACAGAAGCACTAAAAACTCAAAGACAAAATTTATAATTTAACAGAAAATATTAATTAAGCATTAGTTGCACCACAATCTAGGGTGCACCATTAATCTTGTAGGGACCAGGGTGGAAATTGAAATTTGTGGTTCTTACTTTTTAAGCTTTTTAACATTCTAACCATTTTTTAGAATAACATTTTAACAAATTGAATCATGTGGTATGAGAGTCTTCGTGTAAGAATTTCAACGTTAAATTATAAGTCCATAAACTTAATTGTATTAACTGGCGGTAATTTTTTATTGACATAATAATAATAATAATAATAATAATATTATTATTATTATTATTACTTCTTTTTTTTACGATAATTGATTTTCAATGAATGTATAAGTGGTTTAAGCTTTGGCTGATTTAGAATGGGTAAGAAATGATTTTAAATTACAAGATTTTAAATAATTGAAATTATTTTGAATTTTTTTAGGGGAAGAAATGATTTTGAATTCCTAATTACACTTGGAACCAAATCGATTATAAATCATTGAAATTAAAATTTCTTGTTTGGATATTCACGAGAAATTAAACGAATTAAAATTTCTTGTTTAGGTATTCACGAGAAATTAAATGAGAGTATCCTTTACTATTATGCATTTAATATTTTGCAAGTATGTTATTAATAATATAATATTTTAATATAAACTAGAAACTTCATAGAAAACATAAATAATTTAATACCCTACAAAATTAAAACTTGGTGACTCAAATATTAAAAAAAAAAAACACATAAAATCAAACTTTTTCAATTTATTTGCAGCACGGTGTTCATTTTTTTTTTCTTTGTATCATCATAGATATTTTACGATATGCTAAAAGAACAAAAACAAAAGGAGAAAATAAGAAAAAAAAATTATATCGAAAAAAACATACATATATTTAGCTTAACCCTGATTAGCCCAACCCAACTTAACTGCTATCGGGAATCCGCAGCCCAGCCCAATGTTATTTTAGTTATAAACGACGTCGTGTAATGATGTAGAGGACTCATCGTTTAATCTTAAACCCTAGTCCTGTCACCGCCGGTGTTCACTCAGTCGCCGGCGACTGGTTCTCGTTATCAGTCTTCCACTAATTCTAATGAACTTCGCGCATGATTTTTAATACTTCGCAGTGAAAATTTTCGAGCCGTTTCATCTTTTTTTTTTTTTTCAATCTTTTATTGCCTGGGCTGTGATAATTATTTTCTTCTGAGTTGAATTTTTTATTCAGCTTGTTGTAATTTTTGTTCTGTTATCGAATATTGAGGATAATCGAACTTTTAAATCGACCAATGTTGGACGAAAGCAAATTCGATGTGCATTTGAAGCTCTGGGCGCTGCGAATTCCCAGGGAACTTTGCAAAGCCGCCATTAAAATACTGAACGGGTACGCGGTGTTTTTTGTGTTGTTTTGTTTCTTAATTATGCTTTGTGATAATTGTGTTCGACTTCAATGTCCCAATCATTTGGGTTTAGAATTTAGTATTAGTATTACTCTTACATTATTCTTGTTGAACTGTTCATCTTACTTATCCGAGTTCGATCTTCTGTATTTCATCAAATGGTTTCTTTTACAAAATTTCTAGGTACTTAATTGATAGGGCCCGTGTCAAACCCGTGACAGAAGATCCAACATGTGATAAGAATCGTTATGTTATATTATCTGAAAAAGTTCAAGCTCCTGGTAACAATCTCTGTCGTTGCATTTGTGATGTGGAAGTAGATGATATGTTTACTGTCTTGATTTTTTGAGTTCATTATATAGTTAGATGACAATTTCATGTTATTCATACAAGCTCTTCAAAGTTCCTAACCTTGTCCACCCTTCCACGATCCACTGAGATTTTTAATCCCAAAGTTTTACTTTTATTAGGTTTAACTGTTAACTTGAATGACTGATAAAATTATTTGCCACGATCTACTGAGATTTAGTCCTTTATTGCTTCCATTCGTCCAAAAAAAGATTTTCCCAAACGGACCAATGTATCACTTAAAATCCAGATAAAAAGTACCTGAACATGGGCGTAAAAGCAACTCAGTAACCCTGAGTAACTAGGTTCCCTTTTTTTTTGTCTTATTTTCCAGATGGAATTTTCCTTGATCACGTCCTTTGATGACACCTTTTTCTATCTTTTGATTTGATTTTTTGAATGGCTCAGAGTTATCTCAAATTCCAGAGGCCAAGCTTGAAGAATTGAAAGGTTTATGCGAGATTGAACTAGTTCCCTATTCACTAACTCTTGGATATTCTTATTGGGGAGCAGGTATTTTCAATAGTTTTATCTTTTATTTCACACATTGTGCACATTTTACTTAATCTCAGTATTCCTGTTGAACGTAGACTATTACTTATTCTGGCTTTTAATTTTATGAATACATTTGCAAAATTACAAGTGATAATATTTGGTAAGGTATTTCTAGGACCACATGAAATGATCTCAGTATTCAAGTATGCACTGAGTATTAAAGTATGTGGAGGCAGAATGTTGTGTTGTGTTGTGTTTACAAACAGGAGAAGGGTGAGAGTTCAATACATCGTTGATAATAATGTACTGTCCTTATATGTTTGTGCTGGACTCCATTAGTACATCATCCATTTTATTTTTTTTGTCTACACTAATGGGAGTTATGTTCCAATGATTGTCTACATAGTGATTGTACATGGACTGATGGACTCGGTTGTCTTTTACTCCTATTTGATATCTGAGAAATACATGTGACCTGTCACCTGTCTACTTTCGGCAATTGCTATAATATGTGCGATGTTCAATTTCTGAAAGATGGTTTAAACTATTATGGTGCTTTTACCTGTTATTTGATGTTTTCATTTTGCATATTCGACTAACTTACTGTGTGGTTCCTCTGTAGATCATATACTGAAGCAGATTCTGCCTCCTAGAGTGGAAGTGCCTTCATCTTTTGAAACAATAGTTAAGTACTCTAGACTGACATTTTTCACCTACTTTTTTCCTTTTTACCTTACATTTCTTTATGCTCTATATGGCTTTTATGTGCATTCGTTTGTTGCTCTATATAGGTTTTATGTGCATGTGCTCCTAACCTTGTTTGATCTTGTATAACTATTGACAGTGAGGTAATTTTGTTATGTGATTTTACAGGTCACATTGCTCACCTGAATATACATGATGAATTGCTTCCTTATAAGGATGTCATTGCGAAGGTTATTTATGATGTATGTCATCAATATCCATTTACTCATTTTTCCAATGACTTCGAAAAGTAAATTGTGATATGATGATCACTGTTATTTCATTTTGTGCATAATTTTATCCTACTTTTTCTCTCTTTTCCTTGTGTAGTGTTGGGGGGCACCTTTTTCGGGTATCTCAATTTTTTAGGACTTCAGTTTAACAAGAATTGGATTTCTGTGTGCCATTTTTCGTCCTTTCCCCCCATTTTCCCTAAAGTAACTCTTCTGTAACTATTTCCTTTTTGAATCCAATTGCAGAAAAATTATCCGAGAATTAAAACAGTGGTAAATAAAGTGGGGACCATAACAAACAAGTTTCGGGTTCCAAAGTTTGAAATTCTGATGGGAGAGCATGATATGGTAACAGAAGTGAAGCAATATGGAGCAACTTTTAAGCTTGACTATGGTTTGGTCTACTGGAACTCAAGATTGGAACATGAACACGTACGGCTGGTTTCATTGTTTCAACCAGGAGAGATCATTTGTGACATGTTTGCCGGTATTGGTCCTTTTGCTATTCCAGCTGCTCAGAAAGAATGTATAGTATATGGCAATGACTTGAATCCGGACAGTGTTCAATATCTGAAGGTTAATGCAGAAATCAATAAAGTTAGTGATCGTGTTCATGTATATAATTTGGATGCTAGGAAGTTCATCTCTCAATTGATGATAGTTCCGGATAATGAAAGTAATTCAGAATCTGTCACCTCAGTACTAAAAGCTTGCGATAAAGGCATTGGAGGGTCCAATCAAGAATCACCATCGGCAAATGGTATGCTGACTGGTTTTATCATTGAAAGAAGTTTTCATATCTTCTTTAAGAGATTGTGTGAGATGATCTTAATTTTCTTTCTTGCTTCAGTTCAGGTGGAAGAAGTCCAAGAAAATAGTAAAATTAGTGATGAAACTGTAGAACATTCAAGGAGTGCCGATATATCCGTTTCTGTTCTTAAAAGATCCTCAGAAAGTTGTGAGAAAGGTAACATACTGATCACAGCCAAGCAGGAGGCTCTGAAAAAAATCAATTGTAGGAACTGAATACGGCTTTCTTATGTTTTTATTATATATATCCACATATTTCTGGTGGAGCGAGATACATAAATTTCTTAATGTAATTAAGGAAGTCGGAAGGTATAAAGAAACTGAACGTTGATAATTTGTAGCATGTTGCTCATCACCATATCTTGTGATTGAACAATAAAAGACCATTTCTTCCTATAATTTGCTTTGCAGACGATGGAATTGTTGATGATGCTTCCATCTCTGTAGCTGGTAGGAAAAAAAGAAACGCTAACAAGAGGATGAAGGGGTCCAATATATGTCATGCTAGGACATGGGAGCATGTTGATCATGTGATTATGAACCTCCCTGCCTCTGCTTTACAATTTCTCGGTATGGACACTTTTTTGTTTATTCCATTTCCCTTATTGCGGTTGTTTAAGAATATTTCTCTACAAGGGGAAAAAAACAGAAAAGAAAGGAAAGGGATGGGGATAGAGATATTAGGTATATATAAGAAGAGAGTGCATGGGTGGAAATTTAAAGGATTGAGAACTTATATTGATAAGCTGCCCTTTTCTACATTTCATGCTCTCGTTCAGCATCCGTAACTATAATTTGTTTGCTTAATCACTGAAGTATATTTTGGTATTTGCTTGCCAGATGCATTTAGGGGCTCAATTCGGAGGAAGTACTGGAAGGGCTCCCTTCCTTGGATTCACTGCTATTGCTTCATGCGAGCAAATGAGAATCAAGATTTTATCATTTCGGTACGTTCATACTTTAGAATCAGATAACACCATCGTCTTTTAGATGTATCTATTTCCATATTGTATTTGTCTGTGCTCTTAGTCTTCTTTTTTGTAATTGTCTTTCAATCTTCTCCACTCATCTACTTCGATATTTGTCTCGCAAAGTCATGTTTTTTCTCATGGTATCTTTTAACTGTTTAATCCAGGAGGCTGAGTCTGCCTTGAATGGTAAAATACAAGACCCAGTTTTTCATAGGGTCAGAGATGTTGCACCAAACAAGGTATTAGCTCTCTCTGTGTTTTTGCTGTTTTGGGGGTTGGGGGTATCACACATGGCCATAATTTGTTCTTAACGCCGTGGCTTTTTTTGTCTGTCTGTTTGTTTGGGCAGGCGATGTATTGTTTAAGCTTTAGGCTCCCAGAACAATGCTTCAACGAGACATGACTAGCTGAGTCAAGTAAAACGATATCTGTTGCAGCGGTTCTTACTGAGCAAAACCTAATTTTTCCAATTCGTTCATGCAGAGTTTTCTTAGTTCTGACATTGTAATTCATAGTCGTTCGTGAGATGTACAAGCTAGCTATATGATACAGTAGGTCTGCTTCTAGGTGTCTCGGTTTTACTGTTGAGATTGGTGTTTGGCTGTGAAATATGCTTGGAAAATCTCCCAGATTGGCTTGGTACAATTCATTAGTGATCACTTGATTTTGTAGAAAAAGCAATGTCTAATGCCATAAGCTGTAACAATATGCCCCTTAAAATGTGTAGCATGTGCCATGATGAAGAGAATCTCTAGTCTTATTTTGCAAAAAGTGCTTTTCCATTCTTCTTTAGTATCAAAATGTTTGCCCAACTTTTTTGCTGGTCGAGAAAAATTCTGTTACCTGAAGCGGAAGATTTGTAATCTTTCACTGAGAACTTTATATCCAGGTAAGAAAAGGTCAAGATCTACCAATCCTTTTGATTTTTTGTTAGATTACAATTCAAAGGTTTCATCTTCGTATTCGTATTTGTTTCGTCTTGTACATTTGTGAATATATCGATTCAGTCTCCAATGTTGTCGAATTAAACTGTAACAAAAGTTGGCATGATAGAATATGATGGAGTATCATTCGAAGACTTTTGAGATTCTAACATAAATATTTGGCAATTGTCAATCCTAACTAAACAAAACAGTGCCATTCACACTTTGATTCTTTAGCAAGTTCGGAAACATTGTGAGAAGGGGGATCTGTCTTAATCCGCTGAAAAATAGTTACTCTCAATCGCATGATACAAGGAAAATATGGTACTATTCATAAAAGAGTTAAAAACATTGTCTTGAGGGACGTTTTTTTTTCTTCAATAATATAGATAATTGACATCTTCCTATGCTTGATTAGATAGATAGTCATGTTTGTTTTGCATAAATGTGTCATGTTTTTTTAACTGTGAGGCGTCAACTTTAGTCAATCACGTCTCTTGAGAGAGCAATATATTTCCCTCTTTTGGAAGAAATAATATTTTTCTAATAAATTTTGCTATGGCTTAACTTTTTGAGAAGATAGCAATCTCTTTTCGGTTTTGATATATCCATTATTTTCCTTTATATTCAGATTGCACTATTGTTGTTCTGCCTCTTTTTTCAACGATAAAGAGACGAACTTTGGGAAAGAGACCAACAGAAAGAAAGCACGAGAGATTAGATGAAAACATTACACGTAGACTTTGGCTGGAAAGTTGCCAATTTGAAGCCTTCTTTTTCAACTCCCTCTCCAAAAAGCAGTCAATGAGGTCCTCATTGAGATCTTTAAAAAGTACTTCCTTTTCCACATTTTATCAACAGAATTTGCATTATGATCACTTCAAAAAAAATGTTTCACCCCAACTTGAATCTTGAAAATCGCTTCAAACATCGAACATAGCTTGGAAACCACGTAACGAGATAATCATCAAACATATGCTTTTTCTTTTAAAACGTAATCAAAGATATGCTTTTTGAAATAATTTTAAATATCTTCACCATAGAAGAAAGTTGGAAAGTTGATATTGTCTAGTTGTCCATTTCTTTATATCGTATCATGCCAATAGTTTATCAAATAAACATGTCATTTTATCATTTAATTATGATATTAGAATCAAAATCAATTTACATTTTTTAAAGTTTAGACTAGGTTTGTAAGGAAATGTGTGATTTGTTATTAGTCGTGGAGCTAGCATGAGTTATATTATAACCAACTTCTTTATATAATTCAATTCAAAAGCTCATGAGATGGAAATGAATGTCAATAAATATTCCAAAGATTCTGCCATCTTTTGTAATGAAGAATGAATATATCTCTGGCATTAGCCTAAAAACCACACCTTTATTTCCACTTTGTAAAGAGCTTTTTGGATACCCTTTCTGTCAAATAACATTCTTTTTTCCTTTTTACTCAAAACTATATTCCAACTTGCTAATTCGAATATACTAAGATGGTTTGATCTCCATTCTTAGACAACTGTCCAGTATCTAATGGTAAGTACCTACAATCAATATATCTTTGACAGTAAAGAAAGAGAGAATAAACAGATTCTTTGAGGACTACTTGAGACGCTTTAGTAGAAACTAGTAAAATTGAAGCGGTTGGATATGTTGCTGCTGCTATAACTTAACAACTAAAAAATTCTGCGTCAAACTTCAGTCGTGTTATATATCCATATAAATGAATTAAATTTATCCGACCTAATAGCTTAAGTTTTTAGATTGAGTGGTGGTTTATATATCCTTAAGACGTTCCTTTGAGTTGCCTACATCATTGAACTAAAAAAATATTAGACTTGAACATATCTTCATTAATTAAAGTATCGTAACCCCTTTTAAAAATTATAGGTTCAAATCTTCACCCTCATTTATAGTATTAAAAACTAAAAAATTCAAGACAATGGTAAGCAATAAATGAATAAATAAATCTCAAAGCATAGGGTATAGTAACGAAAATGGTGATAACGTAAGTTCAACCCACATTTGTGTTCCAATTTTTTTAAGTATTTGAATTTCTTCGTATGAAGCAGCTTCAAAGAAATAAAAAGGAGCCAACGTGGGATTGCAGCTGTGCGCACCATAACTGAATAACTGAATTAAGTAACGAATCTTCTTCCATTCCTTCTTTTTTCCTCTGTAAAACCCCATTTTCCCTCTTCCCCTTTAGGCTTCTCTAAAGCCAAAACCAGTCCATTTCCTCGCCCCCTCTCATTTTCTACTTCTTCTTTCTTGATTTCTTCTTTATCAGAAGATTCTGATTCTAAAAAGACTGAGACCCATCAGAGATTGGAGCAGTTAAAAAGAGGGGAAAATGTCAAAATCTGGATTGCAAATCCACAGGGACTGTATATTCACAGCATTGATTTTATTGTATTCGACGATTTTCCCCAATGGGGAAAGTGTTGGAGTGAACTGGGGAACTATGGCGACTCACCAGCTCCCGCCAGAGAAAGTGGTTAAAATGCTGCAAGAAAATGGGTTTCGTAAACTGAAGCTTTTTGAAGCTGAGGATAGGATTTTGGAAGCCCTAATTGGAAGTGATATAGAGGTTATGTTGGCCATTCCCAATTCAATGTTGCAGATTATGAGTGAAGATCCTGAGGCTGCAGCTTCTTGGGTGGATTCCAATGTCACCACTTACTCTTATCATGGTGGTGTGAATATCAAGTTGAGTATTGAAGATTTTTGGATCCTCATTAACTTTGCATCATTTTTATTTTCTAATGATTTTTCCCACTTCATTGGTTTCTCTGTTTTGAAGAATATGTTCTTTTCGAGCTGCTGCTGATGCTTCCATTTTCTATTTCTATCTGGAAATTTGTTCTTTCAATCCCATGGAAATACCAATCTGTTTCTTTCTTCCCTTTTGTTTAGTTCCCTACGTTTGGACTATTCCTGACGGGTGTGACTTTTGAGGATTTTACCTTTTTCAAGTGAAATTGGGTTTTTTACAAGCACTCTTTAGAAGAAACTACCATGTGCTTTCACACTTCTAAATGGTGCATTTAGGTGAATTGAGATGACTTTTGAAGACAATACTTTTTAAGTGAAATTGGGTTTTTACCAAGCACTTTTTAGAAGAAACCACCATGTGTTACTTCTATAGGTGTTTTTAGGTGGAGCACTTTTGAGTATGTAACTAAACATGAAACTTTTGAAAAGTATTTTTCATTAGCTAAAAACACTTCTCACTCTTTTCGAAAGTTTTTGTCAAATTCACTCTTAGTTTATTGACCACTCTAGGATGAACCATGAATATTTGATTATGGGTCTTTTCTTGATGGTTACTAGTTTCAATGCAAGTAATTTATCTCTTTTATTCTGAAAATGAGAATCCAAAACCATGAGGAAGTAACAAAATGCTACTCTTAGTTTAGATTTGTTTGTTAATGCATTTCGAAAAGTTCAAACATTAGATTTTTATGAACGTTAAATTAGCTTAACAATCATATTGGATTTCTCCGATAAAATTCCCTTGAAAACTGATTTTGCAGGTATGTTGCTGTAGGCAATGAGCCCTTCCTTAAGTCCTACAATGGCACCTATCTTCAGTTCACACTGCCAGCCCTGAGGAATATCCAGCAAGCCTTAAATGATGCAGGGCTTGGATCAAAGGTCAAAGCTACTATTCCTTTCAATGCTGATATTTACAACTCCCCGGACTCAAACCCGGTTCCATCTGCAGGCGAATTCCGCTCCGACGTCCGAGACTTGACGATCGAGATCCTACATTTCCTATCCACAAACAATGCACCTTTCACTGTCAATATCTACCCCTTCCTTTCCCTCTACAGCAACGACTACTTTCCGCTTGACTTTGCATTCTTTGATGGAACCTACAAGCCCATCAGAGACGGAGATCTAGCTTACACCAATGTCTTCGATGCAAATTTCGACACCCTTGTTTCGGCACTAACCAAAGCAGGATACCCTGAGATGAAGATCATAGTCGGGGAAGTCGGGTGGCCAACTGATGGCGACAAACATGCCAACATCCAATATGCGAAACGGTTCAACCAGGGATTATTGAGACACGCTCTAAGCGGAGAGGGAACCCCAGCAAGAGTAGGCATTATTGACATCTATCTCTTCAGCCTGATTGATGAAAATGCCAAAAGCATAGAACCAGGGAGCTTTGAGAGGCATTGGGGGCTATTCGAGTTTGACGGTAAGCCGAAATACGAACTAGATCTCTCAGGAACAGAGCAAGAAAAGGGGTTAGTAGCAGTAGAAGGAGTGAGGTATATGGTTAAAAGATGGTGTGTTTTGAACCCAAATTTGAATGATTGGGAAGGATTGGCTGATAATGTAGATTATGCTTGTAGTCTATCAGATTGCACTGCATTGGAATATGGTTCTTCTTGCAATCAACTAACTGCCCAAGGGAATGCTTCTTATGCCTTTAATATGTACTATCAAGTGAACAGCCAGAAGAGTTGGAACTGTGATTTTTCTGGTTTGGCTGTGGTGACTGAAGAGGATCCTTCTTATGGGAACTGCCAGTTCCCAGTTATGATTGATTATACTTCTTCTTCTTCTTCTCCATTTCTGGTAGATGAAAGATTTCTAGATCTTTTGGTTGCTGTTATAATGGGATTGCTGGTTTCTTTTTTTGTTTCTGGAATGATTTGAGAATGATTTTTGTGACTTTTGGGAAAGAGGAGCAATTGGTTAAAGACTCAAGTTGCTCATCAAGTTTCTCAATGTTTTGTGTACATTGCAATATGGGGTATTATCCTCTTGGATTATGACAAAACTCTTCTCTTGCCAATTTGCTTGTTAGGTATGATATTAGATTAAAATCTTTTGGTTTATCAACTTTCACACTGATTTTTGTTTTGTGTTATGAAAAAAACTTAATTTTCATATGATATTCTTTTTTTTATATATATATACATACTTATCAGCTTCTAATTAACGGTATTCACATCCCTAGACATATCTATCTTAGAACATAAGTCATTTGATACGCAATTTTCCTTAAATGCAATCCGGAATAAAAATCAAAATAAACTTTTACATCTATTAAAAAGTATCATGACGAAAGTAGAACAAGCTTGTAAGTTCATTAAATAATGAAAATAGAAAATAGATATAACACAGTATATCATTCATCCTGTTTTTTGATATGTAAACGAGTAGAAAGATGTAAACTCATAGAAAAATCAACTTTACAAGTTAAAATTGTTATTATAAGTACAAAAATCAAGTCATATTCTCAACTAATCAAGACATATATATCTTTAATCAAAAGGTAAAAAATTCGAAGTTTCTTCACCTCATTGAACTTAAAAATAAAAATAAAATAAAACAACAATAAAAAGTCAAATATTCTAGATCAATCATTCACAATCACATCTATTTGGATATTGACTAGAAAAGTATGCTCCACCACAAGTTTCCAATACTAAGCAAAAGCATTTTTCCATTTGAATGATTACATATATAGAAGGCAAAATCCCAAAGAGAAGAATTAAGGAAAACAAAGAAAAACAAATATATAATTTCATGGTCATTTCATTTTCATAATTTCATCAAGACAAACCGTTATAACTGGTTGTGTTGGTTTGCTTTCAATACATAACAAATAACAGGTCGCCTCCCAAATTGGTGACCAATATTTATGGCCCAACTTTTTTATTTTGCCAAACACCTATTAATAATTTTTTTTAGGTCAGAAAATTCAAAACTCCATTTTCACATTTGTAATATCATATTATTTTTTAAAAAGGTTAGTTTTTATTTAATGATGAATTTTAGTCGGTTTAAACTAAACATCAAGTTAGTAAATTTAATCTCTCAAATGTTATATTTTTTTACACAAGTGACAAAGATTCAATTCTTGGTTAATCTCAAAGAATGATAATTTTAATTTTTAAAACAGGAATAAAATTTTCAAACTTGAACCTCCCTTTGTTATTGTTCATTTATAGCTTAAACATAGAGACATTGGGTTTTTTGTTTTTTGGTGGTTGTATTTTTTTTGGTGGTTTAAAGATTCAACAAAAACGTAACCTAAAAACTTATGTAAGGTCTCAAAATTAAGAGAGATTATTAATTCGACCTACCTTATAGTTTTGCCTTAAAAGTTATATATATGTTTCTTTAGGAAAAAAAGGGAAATAATTAATAGCCAAAGTTAGTTGCAAAGACAAGCTATCATAAGGTTTAAACGCATTCCCTCTAAATTCTCATGAACTTTCTTTAACAAATGAACCAACTCATGATGATTTATACTAAAAAAGAACCAGAAAAAAAAAAAGGTTCAATTCGAATTGAAATATCCAAGAGAGAAAAAATAATAACCTATGGAGGACACATGTATCATTATCTTGAGTATGTTAGGGAGAATGCTATAATTAGTTATTTTAAAGGTTTTAGCTCACAATTCTAATAAGCTTGGGTTTGAGATATCAATGTTTATATAGTTTGTATTTAAACACCTTCATTTGTTTAATTTAATATTATAATCAGCAAAAATTAATATTCAATCCAAAATGTTAAGTTACACTAACCTGTGGATGAATAACAAATAAATTAGGAGTTTTGTATAAACAAACTCACATATAAAACATGCTCAACTTCTCAACCTCAAGTTACGCAGACTTGAGAGGTCGGGGAAAATCTGAAAAATAATATTTATAATTATTTTGAAAAAGAGTCATGAAAAACGGCAATATATATAACTCAGTTTGGTGAAAAAAAAAAAGGTTGGTTCAGAATTTTGTACAAGCTAATATATAGTATAAAATCAGGTCATGAGTTTGAGTTAATGTCGTAGCGAGTGGATTAACAAATTCATGGTTTGAAATAAGCAAATCTACCTAGATTCAATTTCTTAACTCTAAATTATGTACCAATCTAATTCTATAATGTTGGAAATTTTGAATATAAAGATAATTTTTAGTTCAATAAATATGGAGTGGAAGATCGACAAAATATGAGAATATGTATTATGTGATTGGTAAAAATTGAGTTGCATATATTTAAGTTAGATATTCAATATTTAGTTTATAATCAATAATAGATAATATGCAATATAAAATACGAGTCATCAAATCGATAATTTAGGTCGGGATAATAAAAACATCTACTAATAAAACATATGCTTAATTTCTTAATCTCAACTTGTACAAACCTAATTTATTAGCGAATACCTATAAATAATTAATTACATTAAAATGGTTCTCATAAATGGTAAAATTGAACCACCTCTCTCTACAATTAATGTAAGTACTTTTCCTAGCTAATTAACTTGGCATTTATTAGTACTCAAAAAAAGAATAAAAAATTGATATTTATTTGTTATCTTAATTTTTTACCTACTTTTTCCTCTATATTAGGTAGATGTCGCGTCAAGATGATGACATGGGTGTATTCTTTAAAGAAAAATTGTAATCTGCAGTAAAAATCTTGTATGTATTTCAAAATATGTCACACGTTTTTTTAATTTTCAAATATAGTAAAAATTTTGATTTATATCAGTAGTATATCAAATACTCAAGTCAGTAGTATACCAGTAGTAGACACTCATATGAATAGTATGTTAGATGTATATCAGATATATATTGCAGAGACATTCATATCAGTAATATATTAGATTCATATCAACAATATATCATATATATATCAATAATTAGATACATTACAGATATACTACAAATGTATATCAGTAAAGTTGTCACTTTAAAATTGGACCTCCATTTTTTTAAAAGTGCTATATTTTCAAACAACTAAATATAGTCGTTATTTTGTTAATTTTACTAAAATTTTTTTGTCATATTTATAATTGCTCCTCCTTTAATTTATCGAACTGCATGATTGCAAATACTGGTGTCAAACTTAAATTTAATTTTTTTCTTCTGAAAGAATAACTATAAATTTAGAGATCTCGAATTAAATTATTTCTTAAATCTTAAATTCTCGAATTAAGTCTAAAATTCATGGTGGGGTCGAGAATTCATTTAGGAGGGCTCCACTTAAAATTTAGTAGTAATAATTTAAAAGTTGGTCATCTCAAAATTCATAAATTAATTAAATTATTAATTTATACACCATAATTCTCATCTACAATTTTTTTTTTGTTAGAAAATTGTTGCAGATGTCTATAACTTTATATAAGAGGGCTTGTGCATGACTAATTTTTCAAATAAATATACAATAAAAAGAATTACGATTTCTTTTCATGCGATCAGTATTTTAGAAAACAATTATTAAAATTTAAAACTATTTTTATTAATTACAATTTATATTTTAAATTGAAAATTAAATTTAAATAAAAATTAAGAAAAATATATATAATATATAATATTACTTATTATTTCACATTTTGTATACAATATGATTCTTTAAAGAAAAATATAATAAATTTACTTTAAATAACTTTTTCTTTATATATTTAGCAAATTAATTCTATAAAAAAAATATTTTAACAAGACTCAAATTCAAGCTTGAGATGCCTTAAGCAACATGCACCACCACATCAAGATGAATCATTAACTAATAACATGATATATTTCTTTGGTGTCTGTGATAAATCTGTCTCGTTTGAACTTATATATAAATAACTAAAGATGCGGTCTAGTTAAATAGTTTTTTAAACTAATTACAATGGCTTATGTGTCCCATTTCAATATATAGTAGTTGAAGGGTGATGGTGTGCAAATTATGAGCTATGGACCAAATTTTAATGCATATATACAATACAATGTCAACCTCTCCCTTAACATGGGCACCATGTCCAAAATTTATATACACATTAAAATGAATATGACATCATATCATATCAACTTTCGTAACTATTTAATGTCAGACTAAAATTAATGTCAAAGTATAAGAATCAAAGTGATAAATATAATGACCAATACCAAATTTTGATCTCATAAGATATAAAGATAAATTTAAAATTTAAGCTGGTTGCTCTTGTGGCTAAAAAATCGTTTATGTATCTTTCAAGGTTAATAATTTTGTGGATAATTACTCATAGTAGTAAATTATTGATTAAGTTATAAATTAAATATGGTCCCTGTACTTTAACTAAAGTAACAATTTAGTCCTTCAACTTTCAAAAGTAACAATTTAGTCCCTGAACTTTAAAATTGGTTACAATTTAGTCATTGTCGTTAACTATTAGGTTAAATTTAACAGAACTTTGAGATTGCTGTCATTTATGGGTTGGTTTAAGATTGGTTTGGTTTAAATTTGAGTTGGTTTAAGAATTAAAAAAGAAATGGAAAATTAGACCCCTTCCCCACCATTTTCGACGCCTCTCCGCAAAATTTCAGGACTCTCACAGTCAATTTAAAATGGATTCTTTTGCTTCCCTTTTCCCCTTTCCTCTTTCAGGATTTTGCTTCTTTGACCCACCATCCTTAGCCTTTTATCGTTTTCTCATCTCTGTCAAAGAAATTGTTCATTTCCCCCATTGGGTTTTTGAGTTTTGGGGTTTTTTCCCTTGCTATTTTAGCTTTTCAGTTGAATTATACAAATTGAGGTTCTTTCCCCAATTTCTGTATCATTTGTAGTGGTACGGTTTTACCTCTATTGATGGCCTGTTGATGTGTCTCTGGCCCTTGAAATTGGTTCAAGTTATGGAGTTCAACGATGAAGGTAGAGATGGGAAAGAAGACGGTTCCCCCAAAGTTCCAGAGCCCAAATTACCTTCAGTTATGATTTTATTTTATTTTTAAAACAATTTTTTTTATAATTAAAATCAATGAGAGAGAGGACCTTTTCTTGGAACACTGGCATCAGC